AGTATTGGGGAAAATCGTTCAATATCTTAGTTACTGCATTTATAGAAGTGTGGGTATATGCATCGTGACAATCATTTTCACCAAGTCCAAATATCCTGTTGAACTGAAGATCACATTTAAGCGTCAAATACTCTTCATGTAGTATTGATTCCATTGTCCATACTATCTCTGGTTCTGTCTCTCTCCCGCTATATATATATATATATATATATATATATATATATATATATATATGAATAAATTGACAAGAGTAAAAACTATACTAACCCGATGAGTTTCGTCCTCTAAGGAACTTTATCAAGACAATGCCTTGATAAGGTACTTCAAAGAACAAAACAGATCGGCTAAGAACAGATTCTACTCTTGTCTTTTTATTCATTTTGTTCCTTTACAGATACATTCTATCTGGAAATAATTTACACAAAACCACACACACACACACACACACGCGCGCGCACACATACACATGCACACACACGCGCGCGCACACACACACACACACACACGCACACACATACACACACACACACACGCACGCACAGGGTGCGATGGATAAATTGTCGTCTAAATTATACAAAAAAAAAAATGAAATAACTTCTAATTTTAATAGATATCTTTAGCAAAATTACACATCTTGAAATTCTAAAGAGTAAATTTATTCAATAAAGTCGCCATTAGTTTTAACCACTGCCTCCAGGCCACTTGGGAATCTCCTGCACTTCATCTGGTCGGTCTCCTTCTTGAAGTTGGTGAATGATGCCATAACCCTTACCTTCAGTTAAACTTTGGTGTTACAAAGAGTTTTGTTGGTCTCTCGCTCAACTGCACCCCACGCATAATAATCAAGGAGTTTGCCGTCTAGAGAGTTAGGTGACCAGATGTAAGGAGTAATGTGATCTGGAAAATTGTCTGACAGTCATGAAAGGGTTCTACTGTTTGTATGGCATGTTGCCTGGTCCTATTGACAGACATAGGGTCTTCCAGCAGTTACCCCCCCCCACACACAAGGCACTTGATATACGTTCACATGTTAGGTTCAAGTCTACGAATTCATTTCTTGGTGGCTGTAGAAAATTGATTAAGAAAAATTCCAAAATTTTCTTTCAAATAATTTTTATTTTCCCAGCTACTTTCAATAACATCTGACACCATCTCATTTCGTGAACTTGAAAGGATTTAAAACTAAAATAAATAGACATGATACATTTAATTTATTTAACCAAACCTGTTTGAATACACACAAACACACACACACATATATATATATATGTGTGTGTGTGTATATATATGTATGTATGTATGTATGTGTGTGTATGTATTTGGTAAAATTATGTGTTTTTATGCTGCAAGCATTTGGCATTTATTGACAATTAGTTTCACTATCAGTTGAAATTCATAAAATTTTTCCAGGAAATGAGATTTCTTAAGTTCATTAAATTTTCTAATATTGATTGGAGTTTCCTTCCAAATCTTTTCTTTTGGGTCAGGGGGAAAGTTGATTACATCATTATTTTCTTTTATATATATATATATATATATATATATATATATATATATATATATATATATATATATATATATATGCTACCCATTTGTGTTGTTGCTGTTGAAAGTGTTAGATGAATGCTCACGTCGTGCCTCAGATTAATTATTTTATTTAAGATGATTAAACTTTATTAAGTGCCTCATTTCTGTTAATGTTAAAATCTATGTTTTATGATCATTAAATATTTTAAGTTGAACCGTTTTTTAAAGAAATTTTCCAGCATTCTTTATTCTATGAACAATAAGGAAAGGGAAGTTTTGGAGTGCCATAATCGATCATGTCCTGGAGAATAACTGCTTGGTTACCCAAATGACACTGGCTAAGAAGAATATCTGTTAACTTTTCCGATCGAACGATTACAGGTTTTTTGACTAGTTTTAGATTGGAAACTCGCACTCAAAGACAAACTTGCAAACCGCCACACATCCAGATATATGTATTCATACACATGTAAAATCCTCATCATCATAAATTAGTACTTCACAATGTTTATCAGCTAAATGTTCGATCTTTGTGAGATGACAAACTATACAGGAGTTTAATTAAAAGTCAGTAGGTGAAAAAGAAAATAGGCTAATCCTAATTGGATCGACATTGATAACACACATACACATACAAACAAGTGCGCATGCTCACAGGCACAAATACACAGATAGATAGATAGATAGATAGATAGATAGATAGATAGATAGATTGTAATGAAAATAGCATGCTTTAACGAGAACGTGGAATAAACACATACGTACGCGCCTGCGTGTACAGACAGAAAGAGAGAGAGAAAGAGAGAGAGTGAATGAGAGAGAGAGAGGGTGAGAATAAAAGAAAAAATAAGGAAGAAAGAGATGTACAGAATTAAACACACAGACACACGCATATATATATATATATATATATATATATATATATATATATATATATATATATATACTGAAATGGTGTCTTCCTGTAAACGAAGGTAGAATGGATAGACAGATAGAAATATTAATAATGTAGCATGATTCAAAGGTAAAATAAACATACACACACACTCTCAGAGAACACACTCTCAGAGAAAAAGAGAAAGAGGTACAGAATTAAACAAAACGACACAATCACACACACACACACTCATAAATATATATCTATATCTATCTATCTATCTATCTATCTATCTATATATATATATATATATATATATATATATTTATCTTTCTCTCTCTGTTTCTGTCTGTACACGCAGGCGCGTACGTATGTGCTTATTCCACGTTCTCGTTAAAGCATGCTATTTTCATTACAATGAATATATATATATATATATATATATATATATATATATATATATATATATATAGATATATAGATAGATAGATAGATAGATAGATAGGAAAATCGAATCGTAGTTGTAATTCACACATAAACAAACGGACACGTGCACACACAGATAGACAGAAAGAGAGAGACAGAGAGGGGTGTAAGGGAGAGAAACAAGGAAGAGGAGGGGGAGGAGAAATAAAAAGAGAAAGAGATGTGCAGAATATATATATATATATATATATATATATATATATATATATATATATATATATATATATGCTTAGTTTGGTTGTTTTTGTTTAGCGGCATGCCAATATACCTGTGGGTCAATTAATGTCGAATCTAAATATTTTGTACGCAATTTTATTTATTTTGTTTTAGTGATACACGTCTTAGTAATTAACACATAGCTGGAGGGAGAATAGGTGAATACATATCTATCCAAAGAGTATTTGCTCGTAAGTGAATATAACGTAGTCAACCGGAATTGGAACTCAGATTTGCGATTAAGAATTCCGAGACTTTATCGATTACACCAACCACACATCCAAGCTTACAGCACTTCGCTGATCGTTCGGGAACAGGTGTTTCAACATGATGTGGCCGTAAACTAGTACACACACACAGACAGTCAGACACACACACACACACACACACATATATATATATACATACATACATACATACATATATATATATATATATATATATATATATATCAATTGAAATGATATCCGTCTGTAAACGAAAGTAGAATTTATACATGCACGCATACAAATGTCAATTGCTCAATCGATCGATCTGCAGATAGATAGATATGAATAGATATGAATAGATATGAATAGATAGCCTATAATAGATAGATAGATAGATAGATAGATAGATAGATAGATAGATAGATAGATAGATATGAAAATCTTGCGTCCCGAATTAGACACATACCCATACACCCGCGCGCACGGACGGATAGAAACAGGAAGAGGGAGAGAAAGATATAAAAAATGTGCAGAATTAGACAAATATGAAAACACACACACACACACATATATATATCGATATATATATATAAACAAATCGTAAGCAAAAGTAGAAAACAAACAGTGGATAGATAGATACAAACAAATAAATAGATAGATAGATAGATAGATAGATAGATAATGTCAGCTGAAATGGTAACAGGCTGACGATAATTGAAGTTAGATTTAAGAGCGTGCACAAAACACACACTCAAACACGTACGCATGCACATACACATACGCATACATAAACAAACAATAATCTTTTATACTACATGTAAAGTTAGAATAAAGGAAGACTTACACGGGCACGTCCACACCCACGCTCGCTTTCAGACACTTCCCACGCGTAATAACTGTAAAAGAAAATATTATATATCCTCTAAAGCAACACAAAAAATTAACAAAAAAACATATTTACCTGTTGTTTTCACTAACTAACATTGCTAGTATAGTTGCCGTGAAGCCTTTCGTGAGGGATCCAATACAAAATATGGTCTTATTTGTGACCGGGCTAAGAGTCTTTAGTTCGCGAACCCCGTAGCCAGCTCCGTAGACGGCCTGGTCTGCTCGCACAAGAGATACAGTGAGACCAGGTAATTTCCGGCATATCCGGAGGTTGTCAACAAAACGGTCGAACAAGTTGCGCTTTTCGGGTGTGAACATCGGTTGTTGAGTAACCGCTGTTGTTGAGTCGGGTGGCTGCGAGGAGTACCCCAGAGCAGTCAGAAGCCACCAAGGAAACAGTAGATGATTTAGCTGAAGTCTCATGCCGCATTACTTACCTTCTTCCAACTACTTTAAATGGTGGCCGCTTACTTTGTACTTTTCACTCGTTCTGTTATTTTCTTTCGCAGACTCTGCTTTTTCCGTGGGCTTGCTGGTCCGACTTTGCGTGTTGCCGACTGCTTCCTTCTCAACTAGGCTTTTTCCCTTCTCATTTTGTGATAAAAAAGGTAGAAGTGCCGTAGAGCTTAGGGACGCGTACACAACAGCTGATCCTCCTGACCAAGACTAAATAAAAATCACCAATTCTTTAAACCGATCAGACAACTAACGTCCACTTGGTTGTAACTTCGTTAGACGCTACTAACAATAACTACATGCTTGTTTCATTTTACTACTTTCTTTTTTTCTCCTCTTGCATGATCTCTCTCTCTCTCCCTCTCTCTCTCTATCTATCTATCCCTTTCAAACACACACACATATTACATACATACATATATAGTACACATCTTTTCTCTGTCGATCTTTTTATCACATCTCTCACCCGCTTTCTACATCTCTATAATTCTTTCGTTCTTTTTCTTTCCTTCTTTCTTTTGCGCTGTATCTCTGCTTCTCTCGATGTCTGTGTTTGTCGATTCATTATCTATCATCTTCCCAGTCGTTACCACAGTCGCCATAGTCATCACGTCGTATTATCAGCTAAATTAACTGACACACGTGCTAAACTCACATGCACTTTCTTTCTTTCTTTCTTTCTTTCTTTCTTTCTTTCTTTCTTTCTGTGTCGTCTTTGTTTCAAATGTATCTCTGTCCTTAAACTGCCCGTATGCCTGATGACATTCTATTTCACCCAGCCTCCCGCCTTTTCTTACCATCTATAACGCACCTCCTTAAGCCTCATCTCTGTCGTCGCGGTCTGTTGCTTTTGTCGTCGACTAATTCTCTTTCTGGTCATGAGTTTTCGCTTAGCTGGAAACACTTAAAAGTTGATCATCAGAATTAATACGTTCGTCTTTCTTTCTTTTACTTGTTTTGTCTATGTTGGCAGACGAGCGCATTATAACCACATCAGCAAAGAAAAGGACCTTAACAGAGTTTATGTCGCCACCTCAAATCGATGACACCACCACCATCCACCTTTTTTATTTTTTGTCATTATTTTTGCGGTTGTAAGAAAAAAAAAAAAAAAAAAAAACAATTCCGCGATGTAGTGGTTAACAAGCTAGACTAGCAAACCAAAACTACACCAGTGAATTAAAAACTAAATTAGCTGCCTCTCATTTGAGGTCCTATGCCCGCCCAAGATTCTCCTTTCATGTGCCGTGTCTACTCGAGACTTGGACAATCAAGGCTCTCCACAGCTTCCTATCTTTTGTAGCGTGAAACAAACTTTGTCCTTTTAGTATCATTCCAAATCCTCATCCTGCCATTTATTTACACAAACTAGTTAGATAGGTTACTCGATGTTACCTTCCGCCTCTCTAACTTCAATATGTCCTGTAAGTATCAAATTCTCCAAGTCTTCTTTTCTCATTATATGTTATAGAAATTTCTTTTTGAGTCTAATACAAGCGTGGCTTTGGTTTCCATTTTTTCAAAACTTCCTCGTTGCCCACATCGTCTTTCCAAGATATTCTAAGCATTCTTCAGTAGAAACACATCTCTGTTGCCTCAAGCCCCTCACCCTTCAGCTGTCTGGACACGGTCTAGCAATCATTACATTTTAGTCTGAGTACTGATATAAAGAACAGAAAGGCATTGCAACCGCCAAACTACTTAATTACTTGAACCGTTAAGTAACAAACAGGTACTAAGTGGTTAAGTACTAAACTACTAGCAAATAGTTAAGTACTAAACTACTAGCAAATAGTTAAGTACTAAACTACTAGCGTCTACCTGTCGCCAAGATCTGCCACGTCTATCTGGGACACCGCCGCCCGCGGCTCCGTTAGAATAGTATAGCGTTTGCTGCGGACATCGAAAAGCCTGCCGCCGTCGGCCCGTCTTACGTGGTGGAGACCTCGGGACGTCGAATTTTCCCGATTTTGCAGTGGCCGGCTACTAGCAAAACCCTATAATAAACGCCTGCTGAATCCCCAGAACACACCTGTCGTTCATAATGCAACTATGCTGAGCGAATATTACTTACAATTTTTGGGAGAGAGCACATAATCTTTTTTTTTTTTTTTTATCGTGTCATTCCAAGCAAGGCGATAATATCACTCGGACTCTGGGGGTTACAGGGAGTGAAAGAGAATGAAAAGACTTTAGCGAGAAGTGAAGAAAGGATCATAAACGAACAGAGTTCAGAAAGACAGAAGATAGCGACTGATGGTGCATTTAAATTTTTGAAGATTGTAGGTGGCAGGCAAGAAAGTATTCGGAAGAGAGATCCACAGATAAGAAATGCGAGAAAGGAAACTCTTAGAATAGAAGTGGTAATCGCATCTAGCTAGTTCTACAATAACGGTGAGACCTATTTGACAATCCAGTAGCACGCTTGAATTTATGTAGTCGAAGAACTAGGGCAAAAAGCACATCAGAACAACTGCCATGAAAATATTTGTAGAAACGACAGCTGGGGAGCCAGATCGTGTCGTTGAAAAGGTGACTGAAGTCGAGATGCCAGGTTAGATGCACTTCTTTGAATTTCGTCAAAAATCTCGATATATACAGCAGGAACACCAGACCAGAGATCATTTTTTAGAACAAGGCCAGTGAGTTTAAAACCCCAGGCCACGATGACTTCTAACTTCGTGATAGCACAACCGTCGACTATTCCAAACGATTTCGTTTACCCAATCTCACTCACAAGTCTAAGATTAACCCGTCGTATAGGGTTTTAGGTACTTTCAAAGGTGCCGCGTGCTGAGGTCACTTCCCACGGTGGATAACAACAAGAAGTCATCTCGATGAAAAATCGACCACCAATATATATATATATATATATATATATATATATATATATATATATATATATATATATATATATATATATATATCCAAGTATAGGATTGGTGTATACGGAATAAATTCCAATAACCAACAATTACTATTCTTAAAAGAGTTCTCAATAAAGAGTAGAGCGAATATAATTATTTATTCGAAATTTATAACATAAATATGCTATAAAATCACTACAAAAATAGCCATTTTGTTTCAACATCTCTAGTGTCTTATCAAGTGATGATGTTGAATATAGAATAAAGAGTTTCAAAAGGTTCAAATTAATTAACCAACACTCGTAAGGGGAAACGCTGTTACATAAGCTGGAATGACCTATCAAAATACAAGTATACGAGAATTCAAAAAACTTGACAACAAGCTAAGGCTATAATAACTATTTAATGCCTTAATGTTGGGGTTGGACTAGAATTCTATTTTAGTCTAACCCCAACATTAAGGCATTAAATAGTTATTATAACCTATTTACTTTATTCGGACTATTGTCTTCATCTTTGTCGCCATATTTATCACAACGTTTCGGCCGTTGTACCCTCCGTCCTTCTACAGGTGGTTGGAATGTCGAACTGAACCCTTTATTTCGCTCACTAGGGTAGACTGTTCTAGTTTCACGTGACATGTTTTTTTAATGGATGTCAGTTATCAGCTATTTCCAAGTTCTCCACTGCCTTAACTTGGTATTGAACTCACACTCTTTGGGACCTGTCACTGAGGACACATGGCACAGTGGATAAAGGCGTTAATTAGATCCAGTGACAGGGCCCAAAGAGTGTGATTTCAATACCCGGTTGAGGCAGTGCAGAACTTGTAGATAACTGATAACTGATATCCATTAAAAAAAAAAAAAACAACAAAAAAAACATGTCACGTGGAACTAGAACAGTCTACCACAGTGAGCGAAATAAATGGTTCAGTTCGACATTCAAAACACCTGAAGAAGGCCGGAGCGTACAATGGCCGAAACGTTGTAGTAAATATGGCGACAAAGATGAGGACAATAGTTCGAATAATGTAAACAGTATGATAGAATTAGTAGGCAGTAGTAGTAATATACTTTTTGATTCCCCCACATACTGGCTCTCTCTCTCTCTCTCACACACACACACACACACACACACATACATACATATATATATATATATATATATATATATATATATATATATATATATATATATATATATATATAGTGGGTGTATTTGAGCAGTAATTTCTCATTTTAACAAAATCAAAAATATATTATAGACGCTGATTAACGGTAATTTTTATAGCCACATAGTCGAAAAACTAATTAAATTAATTCTAAAAAATACTATTACTACTAATAAGAATGCAAAAAGCACAATTAAACTTTTCTAGGGTCTACAACTACACAGTAACCACAGATTAGGCGAAAAAGTTATAAAACTTAATACAAAGAGACGTATTACCTAATGACAAAAACAAATTCATCATTTATAGCAAAAAATAAAAATACGACAAAAAATAATCAAAACTTCAAGAAACCAATGTTTTTATGAACTTGCTTGCCCATTTGATTTTCTGATAATAATAATTCAAAATAAACATTGTTTACATAACCACTACATTACTGTGCCGATTAATGTGCCATTTACCCGATAATAGATCAATTAAATCACTTATCAACTAATTTCTTTAATTTAATTAATGATGTGTTCCCAGTTACCAACTGCAATGTGTATCATAACGAACTCAATAGCATAAAACAAATATTAATTAACAATTTTCCTAACTACTGAATTGATAAACAAATTAAACTAAGGTTTGAAAAATAAAAATGAAGAAACATAAACATGAAAACAATGTAAAAAAGATTTTACAAAATTCTACTACACAGAAATCACAAACTAGAAGTAAAATTATGTGAAATTTAATACACAGACACGTATCGAGTAATGGCAAATATAAAAATATTAAACCTATCATTTATCACAAAAAACTAAAAACCTCCAACATGATAATCACTAATAGATGTGTTGTTTTAATTATTATTAGAAAACCAAATCCGAGAGGATATCGAGGCAAGACAACAACAACAACAACAAATATTATTAATAATAATAATAATAATAATAATAAATATGGCACATGGGAACATCAACAATCCCGGTTGTAGTTGGAGACCTTGGATTGGTTGGAAAAGATTTAAGTAGACTCACTGAAGGGATTCCTGGAAGCCCATGCCTTAAAGGGTACCAAAAATTGTTCTCACAAGTACAGCCCACACCTTATGAAGGGCTTTATCTATGTAAAATATGTGTGCTTTTGTTTATTATTATTATTATTATTGCTCAGTGGAAAATGCCATGATACTATTTCTGACCTTAGGTCTCTGTGTGGGACCCGGAAAGAAATGAGTACACTCCAGAAATCAAAGGAAATAAAATAACAATAATAATAATAATAACTAGCCAAATCCGCGTCTTAGGAACATTTCTCTTAATAATAATAATTTTAAAATAATTCAGAAGACGATGTTATTTTATTTATAGCAACTTGATTTTTGGCGATTGTCTTACTCGGTTTCCGTCGTTCTATGCATTGCGTCTGGAAAATGGCACACTTATCAGTGTCCCCCTGCGCTCCTCCTTTTGACTCGGATGAAAGTGTAGTATCTGTCCCCGGGAAGATAAACTACATTTAATCTCTTAGTTTTGAACAGAGCGAAACTGAAAATATTATTTTGGGGTGTCCGAACTCGGGAAACAGCTGCCCGCGTCAGTACCTCCCTCATTGCGCTAGGGGCGGTAATAATATCGACGCAAGCGCAACCGACGAAGCAGGGCTATTTCTAGGCCTGGTTCGAGTGCACGTTCTCGAACTATATTAAACTGACCTTGTGTCACATCCTGCCAGCGTGGGGGAGGCAAGAAAATACAATCGCTTCTCGGACTTT